ATCCCCTTACCAACTGCACCCAGTAGCTGTGGTCAGAGAGTAGGGCTGTGTCTCCCTGCAACACAGTCAGGACAAGAGAAGGAAACCCCCACAGTGCACTGACCTAGGGCAGAGTCTTTGGGGAAGGTTAGAAGGGGCCGTGTGTCTGAGCATGTGCAGGAACCATCTCAAAAGGTAAAGAGCCCTGACTCTCCAGGAGCCTTGTCTGTAGCTTCAACTGATGTAATGGTGTGGTAATAACCATTTTTCTGGCTGAGATATTTCAAAGGTCAGTAAGGCCTTTTTAGATGCAATGACAATGAGCTTGGTATGAGTTCTCATTCAACAGGGTACTTTACAATAAAATCTGATAATGTAAAACCCAATAAATGTAATAGAACCTAAACTGGATGCCATCCTCCACTTCCCCCACCCCATTTTTTGGTAGTTTAATGTAATTATACTACATTACTGAAGTATAATTCACAAACAGTAAAATGCACAAATCTTAAGGGCATAGAAATGTAACCATCACCTAGATCAAGTTATAGAAAATTTCCATCAGCCCAGAAAGGTCAATAACCTCCTGTAGATTCCCACCTACCTTCCTTTCACTTAGGCAAACCATTCTGATTTCTATCTTCACAGATGAATGTTGACTGTTTCTGAAATTCACATAAATGAATATACATTTTTGTGTCTGACTTCTAATTTCATGCAGCATAATGTTTTTGATATGCATCCATGTTTTGAGTATATTATTTTGGTGTTATTAATGACAATTAATTCTGTGTGGTTGACTGGGTTATTTCCAATTCTGGCTCTCATGAGCAAAGCTGCTATATTCTAGTACTATTCTTTTTGTAGACATGTGCACTCATTTTTCTTGAGTTTGTTTATACTTTGAAGTGGAGTGGCTAGGTCATGGAGTAGGTCTAAATTTAACTTCATTATAAACTGCCAAACAGTTGTCCAAAGTGGTTGTGCTATTTTACCTTCTCACCAGCAACGAGAGTTATAGTTACTCCACATTCTTGTCAGTACTTCTTGTCTTTCAAGATTCTTCCATTCAAGCTGTTAAAATACCTTAAACCAAGTAGCTTACAAACAAGAGAAATTTATTTCTCACAGTTCTGGAGGCTGAGAAGTCCAAGTTCAAGGTGCCAGCAGATTTTGTGTCTGATGAGGGCTCACTCTCTGGTTTATAGGCTGTGCCTTCTCCATGTGTCCTCACACGGTGGAAGGGCAAACAAGCTCCCTCCAGCCTCTTTTATAAAGATACTAATCCTATGCATGAAGGCAGAGTCCTCATGATCTGATCAGCTTCCAAGGGCCTAAACTTCCTATTACCACCAACTTGGGGATTAGGAGTTCAACAAATAAATTTGGTGGGGGGATGCAGACACACAAACATTCAGACCATAGCATTGCATAAAAGTAGCTCATCACTGAAGTTTTAATTTGTGTTTCCCTAATAAGTAATGATTTTGAACATTTTTTCTTATGTCTTTTGGCCATTTAGAAATTTTGTGTGTGTGAAGAAAGCCTATTCATGTATTTTGCTCATTTTTAAATAGCTTGGCTTTTATTATTAATGTCTAAAAGTTCTCTCTAAATATTCAATATCTGAGTTATTTTTCAAATAAGCATACTGCAAATATCTTCTCCCAGTCTTAAGAAGGCTTGCCTTCTTTCTTGTGGTAATTTTTTGATGAGTAGCAGTTTTTAATTTTGATGAAATCCAATTTTATTTTTTTGTGACCTCTAAGACACCTTTCCTACCCTACAATTGTGCATATATTTTCCTGCATTTTCTTCCAGAAACGTGTGTTTTTATTTTTATTTTTAAATCTATAATTCTTCTTAATTTCATTTTCTGATCTCAGCACGATGCTTAACCACTATAAAATCCACAACTTGCAGACCAACAGTTCAGTCTCCCGGAAACTTGTATAACCCTTGATGTAACAACATTTACAGTAGTTTCCTGCTGTGCTCTTTGACAGCTATAGATCCTTGTGCTTCCACCTCTCACTCCCTCCCTCTCTTGCCTTCTCCCTTCTTCTCTCTCCTTTTCTCACCCCTACAAGGTGAGAAAACCAGAAAGACCTAAAACTGAGGAGAAGAAAGACCTGGTCTAATCTGCGCTCAAGATATTAGAGCACAAGAAGAAGAAAGACTGGGTCTGATCTGTGCTCAAACCACACCTGTATTCTGGTTTGTAAATCTAGTTCTGCCCCTGTGTGGCCTTGGATAAATAACTTAAACTTTATGTGCCTCCATTCTTTCTTCTATAAAATGGAGCTAATAAGAGTAGTCTTAGGCCAGGTGTGGTGGCTCATGCCTATAATCCCAGCACTTTGGGAGGCCAAGGCAGGCAGATCACTTGAGGTCAGGAGTTCAAGATCAGCCTGGCCAACATGGTGAAACCCCATCTCTACTAAAAATACCAAAATTAGCTGGGCATGGTGGCAGGCACCTGTAATCTCAGCTACTCAGGAAGCTGAGGCAGGAGAACTGCTTGAACCCAGGAGTTGGAGGTTGCAGTGAGGTGAGATTGCACCACTGCACTCCAGCCTGGGCAACAAAGCAAAACTCCATCTCAAAAAAAAAAAAAGAAAGAAAGAAAGAAAGAAAGAAAGAAAGAAAGAAAGAAAGAAAGAAAGCAAGCAAGCAAGCAAGCAAAGAAAAAAGTAGTCTAATTCATTTTGCCATTGTTAGCTGTGTCTGGATATGGTTGATGATTAATTAATAATCAAGCAGAATGATCTTCCTCATTGTCATTTTCCTTTGCATTATTTTTGAAAGCCACTGTGCTGATGTTTTGCATCTTAAATTAGTTTTGCTTCTAAGAATTCCTGTAGATGGACTCATGGAGAATGCCCACTGTTATGTCCAGTTCTTTCTTTCTGCGTAATGTCTCTGAGTTTTATTCACATTGTTGAGTATATCAGATGTTCATTCCTTTTTATTGCTGAGCAGTATTCCATTGAATTAGTATACCACACTTTATTTACCAGTGTCCTGATAATAGACACTTAGGTTGTTTGTAGTTTTGGGTATTGTGAATAAAGCTGCTATGAACGTTCCTGTTAAAATTTGTGTGTGTGTGTGTGTGTGTGTGTACATGTTTTAAAGTCTCTTGGAAGAATATCTAGATGAAGAATTGCTAGGAAAAAAAAAGATGTTTATGTTTAAATTTATAGGAGACTGTCAAACCAAAGTGATTATAACATGTTACATTCCCTCTAAAAATGTATGAGTTCTAGGTTTTCCACATCTTCACCAAGATTTGGTGTTTTCTGACTTTATAATTTTGCCATGCTAAAATGGTGGAGTGGTATCTCAATCTTGTTTATTTTTCTCACAACTAATGATATTGAGTACTCTTTTATGAACTGACTGGCCACTAGTATATTTTCCTGTCTGAAATGTCTGTTTAAGCTTTTGCCCATTTTTAAGATGAGTGTTTCCATTTCTAATACTGAATTGCAGGAGCTAATTATATACTCTGGATACAGGTTCTTGGTTAAATACGTTTTGTGAATATTTTCTCCTAGTCCATGGCTTGCTTTTTCATTTACTTAATGGTGTCTTTGGATGAAAAGACATTTCATATCGATAAAGTCTAATTTATCATTTTTCTGTTTTACCTATTTCTCTGTGTAATATTTAGAAAATACTTGCTTTCTGCCAAGTCATAATAACATTTTCATGCATTTTCTTCTAAAACTTTATAGATTGCATGGTTTGTTCTGTGATAAAACTCAAATTAGCTTTTGTGTATGTTGTGAGGTAGGGATTGAGATTTTTTTCCTCACTAGGAGATATCTAGTTGGTCCAGCACTATTTGCTGAAATGACTCTTCTTCCCCATTGTACTGCTTTGGTGCCTTTTTTGAAAAAAAAAAAATCAATTGGGCATATAACAAGGATCTGTTTTAGGTGTCTCACTTCAGTTTCATTTATCAATATGTGTATCCTTTTGCCATGTTCACACTGTTTTGTTTATAGTAATAAATAGCTTAATAGTAAGTCTTCCAGGTTTGACAACTCAATAAACCTGAAATGTGTACATCCTGTGGTGCCACCATGAAAATCAAGACATGCTGTCACTTAATCTCCCTCATTTCACTAGAGGACACATCTCTCATAAACAATGGTTGACCCCTTAGCCAAAGATCCTCTGTTGCACTCTCTGGAGAAAATAAATCTCCAGTTGCCTTAAGAGCTGATCTAGAGGTGATCTAGATACCTGCAACATTCAGCAATGAATTTAGATTTTCCTTGGAAAAAAGTTCATTTTCAATGTGTTGTTTTTTTTTTTTTTTGCCACAGAATTTTTTTTTTCCTGTTACTTACTAGCATGAAGTACAACATTTGGTTTGCAATTTCTGTTCTGTGTAGGAAGAAAAACTTTAGTGGAAACAACCAGTACTTAAAGACCATTTTATGAGGCTGTCATTCACATATTATCTCTTTTGCCGTTTTTGTTAAAATGGTATAAGGTGGGCTTTATATGCTTTCTGTATATTCTTTGGAATGTGTATTTAAATTAAAAACAAAATTAAAATATTCATCCTAGACTCAGGTTAAAGTCCACCAACAATACACTTAAAATAGGATGGGCCCAACCTAAGTGTACAACCTACCTGCTTGAAGTGTGTAGTTGGTGTGTGTGTGAGACATTCTCAACAGTATTTGTGTTCCCTGATGTAGTGATTTTCGTTTTCTTCCCACCCTTGAAAGTCCTCGACTTAAAACCCATCTAGAACATTTCCTTTGCTAAGACTTTAAAGTATTCTTTCTTCAGGTAAGGGCGGTTTTTAAATAGTTATCAGTTACATGCTTGGGATTCATAGAAAGCTTGGGGAGAAACAATCCAACGGCACAAGTTCAAGCGCCCGACGGGGCGGAGAAGGGACTGTATACTCACTGATTGCCAAGCCGAAATTGTCCGACTTGCCTGCTTTGGCTGAGACTAGAGACGGAAACTCCATTCAACAGCGACTAGAGGGCTGAAACAGGGCGCAAGAGTGCGGCTGCCCTTCGCCTACCGGTCCCTCCTGCCTTGGCGCCTTCGGAGTTCGAACTGACCCGGGACGTTGCTGGAGCCGGCAGGAACTGCAGACTCACCACGCACGTCCCCGCACACCCGCACCTGCGCCTGGAGAACTCCTCGCCAATTGAACACCCGGTCCCCCGCCGAGCTTCGCTGCAGGTTACAGGAAAGAGGTGCAGGGTTGCGGACCCGAGGAGAGAAGCCGCACGGAGAGGACCGGGTCCTGCCACTGGTCCCCAAGAAGACAGGCCTAGAGAGGCCGATTTTGACCTGCAGGGCCACAGTCCAATGGCCGCTTAAAACCCTAATGTCTGGTAGCGAGTTGAAGCGATCTCTGTGCCTTGCTTGTCGTTTGCCAAAATTCAGAGACCAAGAAAGACAATAGCTGTGGGGATCAAAATCTGCAATTAACCAGAAAAGAAACATGATCCTGTGTTAGCTTGTTTAGGAAAAAAGGAAGAAGGAAGGAAAGAAGGAAGGAAGGGAGGAAAGAATGGAGGCAGGGAAGAAAGATGAAAAAATCAACCAAAAAAAGAAACATGGTTTACTAACTAATCGGATGTGGGTCGTGAGAGAAAGACCTGCGTCCAGTTTTTGGCCTGAAAGTGTGGAGGGTGGAGTTGCCATTAACTAACGTGGGAAAAGGCAGGTGTAGTAAGTTGTAGAGAAAATATCCGGAATTCCGTTCAGGGCTCTGGGGTCTTCCTTGAAAGAGTTTTCCATCCAGGCCGTCTCGGTTTCCGCATCCGTCTGAGTTGTTTATGATGTCGGGAATGCAGGAGTCTGAGTCCTTTATGATATTGAGGGTGCCACGGTCTCACCCCAGGCGCCTCCCAGCTCCAGCCTCCTCCCGGGAACCTGGTGCGCTCCGGCCCCGACAACCGGCGACAGTCTCTCCACGCGCTGCGGCCTAGCAAAGGTGCATCTCTAGGTAGGTGGTGAGGTGCGGCCGGGACGCTGCAACTCGCTCCGGGACTTGTAGACCTGGCAAATGTTCCGGGAGCGCCACTGGCTGGACGGAAAGGAGAGCGCCACTGGCTGGACACGTCGCGTGTGGGCTCGCAACTTGCAGAAAGCAGGGAGAGGACGGCCTTTTGGGACTATTCCTTGGATGTGCAGGTGGCGCCAGGAAGGGTAGATGGAGCTTTCTAGAGGTCAATGTCAGCGTAGTTTCTGCTGTAACAATTGAAGGAGAAAAGAAAAAAAAAATGTGCGTTGTGGTTTCCTGGTAGTCTATTGGCTAAAGTTGGGCGCTTTCACCGCTTAGACGAGTTGATTCCAGATTAGGGTACGACGAGGTCTTGGCCTCACTGTGTGATATTGTTCTTTCCTGTGTTTGCCATCTACCACCGCTGTGGCTCAACTATTCCAAGGCTGCTGGAGAAATGGAGTTAATTTCGATCCTAAAATTTAAGCTATTTATCTAGGATAAACTCCAAATAGTGGAACTGCTAGGTGAAATTTAGTGTGAATTTAAGATTCCGATTTATACAGTCCACCAACGTATAAGCACCAATTACATGCCCCAAAGTGTGTGACACTGTATCTTTTCCCCAGCATTTAAAACCAATGCTAGAAAGTATTAATCCTTTAGACATAATGTTAAGCTATATTTATCATCAAAGGATTTCTTCATAGTTTCCCCTTAAACTATAAATCCGCAAGAGATGGCAAAGCTGGAAGAACTTCCCAGAATTTCAGTAAACTTGAATTCAATAGTCTCTCTGTTCTCTCCTGTTTTGGCATCTATCCTTTTCTTCCAGGTAAGATTCGTCATAATAGAAAAATAATTTAATAAATGTAATAAAAATGTAAGCCTGGACTTTTTGCTCACAGTGTTCTCCCTGGGTCTAAATTTTGTGAATGTGGTGCTGTTCCTTGGATAGTCTCATGGTTTTGCTTGAGACTTTAGGCCCTTGGGACACCTGGTGCACAGAAGGGTCCCAAAACCCATCTTTGGGTGTGCTGGCAGAGCAAATAATAAAGTAATAAAGTAATAAACCAGTAATAAACCAGTAATAAAGGCAAGGGCACCTGAAGACCTAAGGCTGGTTGGAACCAAAGCAGAGTTTTCAAAACCAGAGAGGGCTTGTGTTCATAATTTAATAATTTAATTTTTATTTTGATGAAATTTAAATTTGATTTAAATTTTCATAATTTAATTTTCATTTTGATGGCCACTTTATTTTGAAAAAGACACTAGTGGAGGAAAGTCTCTTTATTGGACCATCAATTTCCCTATAAATCTTTGTCTCAGAAAAATTTAATAATAATTTAATAATAAATTATAATAAAATAATGTTTCACATCTTACATTATTCACATTTGATTTAGTTGGCTTATGCTGTCAATGTCTTGCCCACTGTATAACACTCCTGAAGAGTTACATTCAACTATGTAGTAATACATATTACTATACATACACACACGTATACATGTGTATACGTATACGTGTGTGTGTATATATGTATATAACCATATGTGATTTCAAAAGGTAAATTAAAGATAATGGGAAGGTGTTGGTAACCTCTCAGATAGTGTAGCACTAGGATAACTGAATTTATGGCGTGGTGTCACATACTTCAGATATCTATGCTGTAATATTAAAATGGCATTTCATTGGCCAACTAACTTGTCCATTTCCTGGCCCAGCATGATACATGAAAGGAGTGAAAATGGGAAGAAAATAGACTTTTGAAAGACTTGCCTAATAAACTTCTCCCTTAGCATTACTTGGAGTGACATCAGAAAATTGGAATGAAATAATTGTGTAAAAAAGGCAAATTCTCTGCTCTCTTTCTCCCCCAATCCTTAATAACAAGGAGGAAACCTAGACTCAGGTTAGGTTTTCTCTTCTTATTCTTCACGTACCAGGACAGGTACTGAGCTTGTTTGTTACTATTTGGGGACTTAGTATATTGTACAAAGGGATGTGGCTATTACTGCCCCTTTTCTACCAGAGCATCAAAACTGGCAACCTGGCTGGTGTTAAGGGGAGCTTCTAACCTTGAATCCCCACTCCATGTGACTTCTTTCTGGTTCTCTCTTCTCAGAACTTGCAGTCATCAGATTCATTTGGAGAAGTTTGATAAAGGTTGCTTTATGCTTAGACAGAAGAAAAAGCCCTAAGGCCTTGAACTGAGCCTTATCCTCTGATAGGGTTTACTGGAATTCCCTCCACTGTGGCACAAGCCCTGCCGTAAATTGTGATTATCTATACCTTGTCAGTTTTATCTATGTATATATCTTTTATAGTAGTCCCCACATCCACCAGAGAATCTAGGTTATTGGCAGAATGAGATTTGGCAATTTTTTGGTCCTCTGGCCAGACATTATCAGTTAGTACTCTGATTCCACCATTTTTGAAATTATATACAACAAATTATAAGTACCGTTTATTTTGGAGAGTTCAGGTTAAAGGAAATGAAGGTTATTGTTGAGTATTATTTCTGTAATTTTCTAATTGTAACCATAACATAGGTTTCTTATCAAAAAGTATGGAGGCCAGAAAGCAGTGAAGCAATAATACTTTCTCCAAAACAAACAGGCCAAACTTTGGCAGGAGTTACAAATCTGACATGCAATCGTGGCTTCTATATCAGAAATCGAGTCTTTTACTTTGTGAGAGGCAGTAGCTTTTAGTTTTTTGTCTTCCTTTCGGCTGCCAGAGGAACTGAACATTGTGAATGCACTGGCATAGTCCCAAGAACCTTTACTTGGCAAGCAAGCTATTGATTTTGGTGGGGTTTATCAGTCACTCCTACCAGCAGAGATGTGATAACACTGCAGTCAGAGAAGTTGAGTTTTAAAATTTTGACTTGCCAACCAACAGGACACTATTTATACGGTGAAACTTAGACATCAGAGGCTACAGGCACTCAGGCTAAATTCTGACCCGTTCATTGGTGGCAAATATTAAGGGATTTTTGCCCCATTAGCCCTTTTTTTACTCATGATGGTACTCTGAACAGAAGAATCTCCTCTAACAGTTTAAGACCATTCATTGTAGAAGCATGTAACTCATCAATCTCAAGGATACATTTTCACAACTATACATTGAATTGGCTCAGAGGCTTCACTCATAACTTTAACTTTTTTTCCCCCCTTTACTGAAAGTTTTACCCAAACTCTGTCAGTTGAACTCACACTCTGCAGGAACACATACCAAGAGGTTTAACACATGCACTTTAGTTACAACAGCACCTGCCAGGAGAACATCTTACCGCCTTGACTGAGAGTTCAACGAGTGCAGGGAGGTGTGACCGGCCATCAAGAAGCAGTGGAAAGACTTCTTTCCTTAAAGTACCTGAGTCAGGTAGAGGGGAAGAGAAGAGTTAGGAGCACAAAGAGAGCAGGCACACAACAGGAAGCACAACTCTGCAATTGCTTATGGTTTTAAGAGGCTGTCCATTCAGTTTTTTGGGTTTTTGTTTGTTTGTTTGTTTGTTTTTTCTTTTTTCTGAGATGGAGTTGCCCGGTCTGCAGTGCAGTAGTGTGATCTCAGCTCACTACAACCTCCACTTTCTGGGTTCAAGCGATTCTCCTGCCTCAGCCTCCCAAGTAACTGAGATTACAAGCTCCTGCCACCATGTCTGGCTAAGTTTTCTATTTTTAGTAGAGACAAGGTTTAACCATGTTGGCCAAGCTGGTCTCGAACTCCTGACCTCAGGTGATCCGCCTGCCTCGGCCTCCCAAAGTGCTGGGATTACAGACATGAGCCACCATGCCCAGCCTGTCCATTCAGTTTCAATGAATTTTAAACAACAAAAAATGCCATTTGGGTGGCTGGTTTCAAGTCCTCCTTGTCAATGCTCAGCCTCCAAATATTCACTAACACATAGGACAGTAGGAGGACTGTTACTCTCCTCTCACACCTACTACTTGAGAGAGAACATCTGCTACCAAATCCTGGAGGCCCTTCTCAAGCCTGCTAACCTGGCCCCATGCAGTTCTTTCTGTTTTTTCTCCTAGAAGGCATTGTGACCTTACTGGTCCCATGTTGGGCATCAAATCTGTGAATGGCTCACACTTGGACTTATGCACACAGCATAAGTAATAGGGGATATCTATGCATAAGAAAGATTAGTATGTTGTCAGCTCCCCACATCCATAATTCCAGAGCATGACACCAAACTGGGTTACTAGATGACAACCCAAGTGGTGGGTTGCTCTGTCAAGAAGGGGCCAATTTTATATTGCAGCTAGGCAGTTATAGTCTGTAGTTGTACCGCTGAGGGAATTGGAGCAAGATGGAAATTTCCATGGCTTACCAGAAACAGGTGAGAAACTGCCTGCTGGTAGCCTGTTGCAAGACAAGGAGGCCCCCACAAGAGATGAGTAAGAAAGAGTCTTACGATAACGCCTCCGAAGACTACCTATCTTACCATGGCCCAGGAGGGCATTTGGTCAAGGTTTGAGTCATAGTTTGGTTGAGCCTTGCCTATGAGAAGTTTAAGCAAAGCTATTCCCTTGTACCTTGTACCTTGAACCTTGAACCTTGAAGAGAGCTTCATTGGATATAATATCCTTAATTTATACTTTCTTCTTTTTAATGAGTAAATTGCATTTTATTTTATTTTATTTCATTTCATTTTTTGAGACGGAGTCTCCCTCTGTCGCCCAGGCTGGAGTGCAGTGGCACGATCTCGGCTCACTGCAAGCTCCGCCTCCCGGGTCCACGCCATTCTCCTGCTTCAGCCTCCCAAGTAGCTGGGACTACAGGTACCCGCTACCACCCCTGGCTAATTTTTTGTATTTTTAGTAGAGATGGAGTTTCACCATGTTAGCCAGGATGTCTTGATCTCCTGACCTCATGATCCCCCCAAGGAGTCTCTCTCCCTCCTTGTGTTCTAGTCTATGAATGGTTCAGACTTGAACTTAGTGTAGGCTCCTAGTGGGAGGAACAAGGGTGGTGAAAATCCTCATCATATGGAAAAATGTAACCCAAACCTCTAGAGGTTTCATAATTTTCCTCTTGCTTCTAAAAACATAGTTATGTCTTATGGGGTGTTATGTGCTTTATATCTTAACATTTTCCACTTGCTGCTTCTTTGTTTGAGGGGAGAAATGCCAGCATGTGGCAAATGGAGAATAAGACTGGTGGAAGCTGCAGGGCAAGGCCTTTACTTCCAGTGACACTGTTCCCAACTCCCTCCAGCATGAGCTGAGCCTCCTCAGGCTGTGGTTGTGCAGCAGACAGGGTGTGAGGAAATCCTGCTTTGCCCTGGTTACCCAGGATGGCACTGAATTCTAAAAGGCAAAGGGTATGTGGTGAGGGGCCAGGCTGAAGACCTGGTGTGGTACTTTTGTGAGCAGTGGCACAATTTGAGGCTGGGTTGAAGAGAGGTACAGGGCCTAGCTCCCCAAAAGACCAGCAGATAAACTGGGGCAGAGAGAGAGATTCCAGTGTAACCAGGAAGGCTGCAGATCATAACAACTATGGCTGCTGATTTGGCATCAAAAATGTGGCATAGTCTAAGCCATAATTGTTGAGAATGGCACCAACATGCTGCAGCTGCAGAGAGTGGGTGACCAACATTTTGAAGTGGCATCGTTGTCTGGGGTAAATATCCAAGGTTCATTGCCTCACACCAAGGGAATTGAGGACGTGGACACACAAGAAGTGGGTTTAGGAGTGGAGGTTTAATAGGCAAAAGAAAGAGAAAGGAAAATAGCTGTCTCTCCTGAGAGAGAGGGTTGCCAGACTGGAACTTCTGGTTTTGTGGTGAAGTGCACAGGGTTTTATAGGCTGGCTTGAGGAGGCAGTGTCTGATTTAC